CGGTGCGGGGGCTGCTTCGGGGCGGTTTTTGCTTTCCCAGAACGCTGCCCCTTGCAGCGTCCTGTTTTCCCAGCTGTAAATTTGCTTCTCGCATGGGCTTTATCCGCCAGAGGTTTGTTTTCAGTGTTGCCTCTTGTATAAAGAGGAAGTATAGTGACCTTACTCCCGACTCCTGAACCTATTTGCTGAAAATCTTGAGGTTTCCCAGCATCGCAAGTAAACTTAAAAAAAAAAGCAATTGATCCCTAAAGATGATAAGAAGGGACACAAGGCTTTTGTAGAATGCTTGGCAAATGTTTTGACCTATGCCCTTTGTTATAGATACGGTGTTCACATAAACACAGAATATCAAATGCCAATGTCTACATCGCATATATACACTAATATAAAAGATTTAGATAATTCCAAAGCAGCTTGAGCTCATGAAAGTCACAAGAATGTTTAGGGGAAAATGAGAAATGGTGCTTTTTTTCCCCCCTTTTTGGTTTTTTTTAAGGCTTAGCACTATTAACTTGAGGTCATCTTGCTTAACTAACATGCAGGTCGCCTGCTCTCCGACTTGCTTCTGAGACCCTCAAATGTTTCATTAGAAACAATTTCCTGAAGTTCTGTGAAACTGGGCTGCTGCTTTGTGACACAGAAAAGCCAGCAGCTCCTCTGGCTGCTGTAAAAACTTTTCTCCTACCCAGGTTACAACAGATACTACAACAAATACATCAATGTCAAGAAAGGCGGCATCAGCGGTGTCTCCATGATTCTTGCTGCTTACGTTGTTGTCAGCTACATCTGGGACTACAGTCACCTGAGTGAGTAAAAGCAGTTGTGGCTGAGTGTGTGTAGTGCAGCTTGGAAGAATGCTTGGGGCAACAAAAACAATGAATCTGCCGCTTTTAGAAATAAAATGAGACTCTGCCAACCATTGCTGCTTGAATCCGAGACTGGGGGCAAGCAAACTTCTTTTAGGGAGAACTCGAATGCTTTTGCTAAGTTAGCAGATGGCCAGTATTTTTGTGGTGATGAAGAAAGCTTAGATCTTGTTGCCTGTCTGGCCTGACAGTACTTAAAAACTACATGCTTGAGGTTTTTTTAGAGTGCTTGCTTTCCTGTAACTTTGGGTGTGATGTCTCTTTTCCTTGTGACTTCAGTAAAATTAACTTGCTTTACTTTGAACGCTGCAGAGCACGACCGCCACAGGAAGTACCACTGAAGCGTGACTTTCAGAAACAGCTGGAACAGCTGCCCTGGCAGAAGACATCAGAGCTGTTGGTGTCCCCATCTGTACTGTTATGACCAATAATAAAGTGCACACACTTCACAGTGACCGAGCTGACACCCTCAGAACGGACTGGTTAATTGTGCAAGGGGGGTTCTCTTCTTAAGCGTTTCCCCCCTCAAGGGTAGGCTCCGAGACGGGTGGGAAAACATCTGCTACCTGGGTTCCCGTATGAGCTGGGGAAACTATTACAGTGGATCCCTACTGAACTGTTTGATAAAAGTCAAAAGCATGGGATTGCTTCTTAAGGGCCGTTACGTACAGGTTGGACAGCGGGCTGAAAGGATGGAACAGTCTGATTTGAAAGATCTGAGCTTTAGGTGGCTCTGATTCGGTGTGTTTCTGATTCTCGGTGAGGCGCTCACCCGGGGACTGTAGGTATTTGGGCCATTTTCCATCCCTGCAGAGCACTGTCAGAGATGAGACTGGTTTAGCTTTAAGGAGGTCTGCAAGTCACTGGGATCCTAATGTTTCTTACCTCTGATAACCCAAAATTTCTACCCAAACTCTACTTACTTTGAGTGCTGAAAGAAGCTGGAAGGTTATTCTGAACGGGTATATAAGATTAAAAGACTAAGATAATGAAGCTCCATGAAGCTAAACTGAAGGAAAACTTTGCTTTTTGACTTAAATGCAGCGGTGAGAAGTTTAACAGGAGACGCCCCGTGCATAAATGCAGCTTAAAGGAGCATCTGTGGGTTTGGCCCCGGCCACTGACCCCCCTCACGCACCCCCTTCAGCAAGTGCAGCCCCCTGGGAGGGCGCTGCGGCACCACCTGCAGGATTGGGAGGGAGAGGGAACGCCCCTTCTTAAGGGACAGGAAGAATTTCTCAAGAGCTTCAGTGGGAACAGGCTCCCAGTTTTGGAAAACATCTGTCTGGGGGGAGTGAAGACAAACTCCTGAACTAGACAGGGAGGCACCAGA